TTTTAAATGTTCTGCTTGTGGCAAAATTACATGACTGTGTGTATGTATGCTGATCTCAATTTCTACATTACGTTAACTTTGTGAAAATTTTGACAATAATCAAATGAATTATTAATAGAATGAATATATAGAAATAGAATTAATAAAAAAAATAACGGCAGAAAAAAATGGAATTTTTTTTGCATAAGATCTTATTGAAAAATAAACTGTAAATAAAAAGAGAATTATTCTATCTTAAAAAAGATCCATCGCCGCCTTTCCCGACTCCAAGAAAATTATGTAGGGAGATCGGTGATCTTTTTTTCAATAATAAGAAAAAAGTTCTTAATGGATGGGAAAAAATCGGGATAAAAAAGTTTCCTGCAGGTTAGAAAAGTTGGATTTGTTCCGTTTTCACTAGGTCAACTGGTCGAGTTTGGACAACATTTTGTTTTTGAAGGCCTTTTTTTCTCGAAAACAATTATATTTATCTTGTTAAATGTTCAGTTTTCTGGTCTCTTTTTGTCGAAATATTTTAAAATTTGCTCGGAAATTAGAAATTTTATCCCTTTTAAAAAGTAACTAAGAGGTTAATACAGATTTGAATATGTTCAATCTGTGGGCACATATTTTAATTATTTATTTATTTATTTATTCATTTATTTTAATGTTATGTAGACGTTTGTAGATCGTCCAAGAATTAAACTCCTCCACATGTACATATGTACAAGTACACACTGTATGCATGTGCAACCGGCAAATGGGGTGAGCTGATTAAAAATTAGAGGTTAACAATCCCTAGTACAAAGGTACATGTGTTTAGTTTGTCTTAAAATTTAAATACAAAATCATTTTTTATTTAATCAGTTTTGAAATCTCATTAATTTTTTTTTTATTTGATTTTATGGAATGGGAAATAAGAACTGAAATGAGACTTAATTTAATATGTTACTATTAGTATATGATCAAATTAATCGATTTTAATTTTGCATGGTAAAAAGTTGAAAGGAAAACACCTTTAAATTGATTTCAATTGATCAGAAATCGGTGATCGACCTGTGATTTGGCTGTATTGTGTACATGTCCTCATCCCCGGGGTAGAACGGGGTACAACTTGTATATTCCATCCAAATTGTAGTGGTCAGCGTAACAATGGGCACTAATTACCTATTGTTCTTCGTCTGCGGCTACCGGTGTTTTCAATAAACAAACGAATAACACTGTACATGTACTCGCTACTTTGGAACAATCTTAAAGTTTATGGTCGCACGAAAAAAAAAAATTCCATAATATTGAATTTGATGACGAATAAAATTGATAGAAAAAATATTTAGAATAGAACACTTTGGTACTATAATGAAAAAAAGATATATGCATCTATACATGTACTTTGTACAGACTTATTTTCATTATTAGTTCAATTGTCAAAGATTTATCTTTTTCAGTATTTAATTTCATTTTTTAGTTTTACGCATATTTCTTCAATCAATCAATCATTTATTTGAATCTTTTTACCATTTTACTTTAGTATTCATAGACCACAAAAATATATAAAATGTATGTGATTGTATACATAACAGTAGGTCTAAAAGGCATGTGTGAATAAGAAACTAAACAAAAAAAAATTGTGGGTTGCTATAAATGCGAAGTAAGGGAATTTAGGCCGGGGAGTATATTTCGTTTATCAGATAAAAGAATATTCCGGGGGAGGTGGTCACATGTATTTTCAATTCTGAATCTCTGCTAACGATTGTTTGGAACCGGTAAATACGTAGACGAGGAATTGACTTCACTTTTTAATAAAAAAAAAAAGTGTGCAAAATATACAATCATATAGATATAAAGAGAAAGATTGTTTAGTGAAGCACTTTTTTGAATTAATATTAGCATGAATTGTTCCCAATTCAGATGCAGGGAAACTCCACTTCGCTTAATCCGAGAAAAAAACCTTAAATGTATGGCCATGGATTTTGAATGTAAGAAACATGACGTTGTGTATCGCACCCATGAATAAATGTTATAATTACTTCAGTTCTGATTTTTGTATGGTTCATTGCAATTGATTCTCTAAAATAATTTTATTCATGCATATAAAAAATTCGATAAGTATAATATCATAACTTGCATGACTTTTAAAACACACAACTAAAGAACAGACCTTGCCCTATCGGCTATCACTTAATTGTATTAACAGTATTTCACCCCCTCGTTTTTGTGCTACAATCAAGTAAAATCATGTAAATAAGCACCAAGTCTGTACTGTTCGTTTATACAAAGGTCTCGGAGAAAAATGGAATTAAAAAAAATTATATTAATCACTGCACAAAATTCTAATTTTACAAAAACACAAGCCGTAACGATATCCCTGTGGCAGAAATATGTGTACTAATAATTGACCCGATTCTAAAACGAAAGTAGAACTTTTACACGTGGTTGACATGTATGTTCAATAACAACAAGCACAAAGTTTGCATTAATGGAAAAAGTTTATTCAAGTAATGATTTATTTTATTTAATTTTTTAACTGACTGACCGCACATAACATGTTTAAGGAGTGGCGCATAATATTAGAAGCCATATGCCTATAGACTTAAAACTGTATACAATGAAAAAAGAATTAGCCTAAAGAAAGATGTATATTTCATTGACTGAAAATCACTCTGCATAAGATTTATGTCATGTAGTGTACAATCCTCAAGCCTTAACAAATAATTTAAAAGAGATTGAGAGAGAGAGAGAGAGCAAGAAAGCGACACGATATAAAATTCGCAGGGAGGACATCGGAGAACTAGAGCGCGCTGTCTACATAATATATAAAAAAATTAATTAAAGATGCTTCAATTTAATTATTTAACCCTGTCACATTCTTCTATAAAATAACAAAGTGTACGCTTCAAGACTAAATTTTATGAAAAATATTTAATACTGTCTTGTTAAAATGAGAGCTTAATTTAAAAGTAATTGGAAAAGGGGGGGGGGGTGTTTTCAACTTTATGTGCTCATGCATTTTCAGTTCTCCACACGGTAAAATAAATTTATATTTAAAACCATTGACTGTATTGAAGTATTAAAGAAACCGACAAAAAGCTTTTGATGACAGTACACATACATGTGAGAAAAAATATGAGATGAGATTTATTTTTTAACAAAAATTAAACTTTTTAAAAAAGTACTTTGGAAGAAAAACCACTGCAAATACAACAGAATAATTTTCCTAAGATAATGTCATCTACGTGTAAGGAGAAATTTAAAGAAAAAACATAAACATTTATGAAAGCTTATGTTAACATTATGGTCAAAAATTATTATAATGAAATTAATATACGAAAACTGAAAACAAATTAATAAAATGTGACTTTTTTTATTTAGAATAATTTATTTTGTAATTGACTGTAATGAATTTGTTAAAATACTTTAAAAAAAAAACAAATAATCATTTCTCAGGCTATTTTAATCCATTCCCAGGTTAAAAACAATGACCACAATAATTATTAGTAAATCTCAGCATTGACAGTACCTCAACAGTAATTATCAGCAATTCTCAGCAGCGACAGTACCTCAACAGTATTTATCAGTATTTATCAGACTCCACAGTAAAAGACGACAGTAATTATCAGTATTTATCAGCAACAACTAAAATTATCAGCAACAACAGTAATAATAACAGTAAATATCAGTAATTATCAGCAAGAACAGCACCGTATCAGTAATTATCAGACATTATCAGTAAAATTTGGGAATCTCAGCACTTTTTTCGTACAGTAGTGCCACTGGATATTAAGTGTACAATACAAAAGCAAAATGAAATGAACATATCAACACAAGCAACAAAGGTTGATCACAAATCTGTGTTTTAAAAATATGCAATCGTGAATGAACATATTCCCTTCTTGTTCGACACTTTCATACAAATTAAACTATGCAGCTACTCTAAAATAGATACAAGCAGTATAGGATACACATTCACTTAAAATGAACTCTCCAGCACTCTCTTTTCATATAAAATTAAGTAAAACAGGCAATTCTTTAATATTCTACACAATATATAACCAGCTCCTAATCTGTAGCTCCTTCATTACGGTTGATCATTGTTTCTATTTCTTGGACATTTGATTTTATAGTCTCTAAACAGTCTTTAATTTTAACAATATAATACTTTCATGTAAATTAATTGATTCTGATTTTATGCTATATATTTGTTAAAAGCACCATTATCTGATATATGATAAAGCCATTATCTCCAACGTAGCAATGGTAACATTGCTTGACTACAGGTGATATTCAATTAAATAGTGACTGAAGATAATTTATATGCATAAGGCCCACTCTCATTGAATTTTGTCTGAGACTTGGACGCCGAACTCATGTTTCTCTAAAAATGTTAAATAAATCTGTTCTTTATTTCGGTAAGCCTTATGATTAAGCTAATCCAATAAGGATATGAAGATAATGAATAGTATTCAATCTCAAAGTCCATTTAACAATATACAAAATAAGAGCAGAGCAAAACGGACCTCTAAAACATCAGAGGTGGAATCAGGTGCCATGGAGGAGTAAGCATCCTCTGCCGACCGGTCACACCGCAGTGTGCTCCTTGTAATGATTGGGAAATAGCGGAAAAATTCCGTCATCAATTCAGTGTATAAATAATGGACTCATAATAAGTATGAAAAACGTCAGTCAGCATTTGACAATGATAAATTGTATTTGCTGACAAGGTTATTGCAGCGACCATAAAATTTACGAAATGATGGCTTTAAACGAGACTGTTGATATTCTTGTATCATCAACCAAGGGTTTTTCACAAATGCAACTTTCGGGTGCATTGCAGATTTCAGACTTCTTCAATCACGTGTTCATTATTATTAATTCATTATTAACTAGTCCTGCAAACGTTCTATTAGTGAAGATTATAATTTCTAAACGGCCGCTTCCGGTCTTCAATTTCGTTTTAATGTCAACATTTGAGACTTCAATTCTTGAACATCTGACACAACTGTCTTCATCAGTTCGTGTTGATCCTAGACAAACTTTTCCATGATAGTTTTTATTGCATCTTCCCCTTCCTCTTTTAGAGCCAGTTTTTGAATGCCTTTAAGACTATCCAAGTACTTTTTTCTAGTGAAAGTTTCCAGTCTTTGGCAGACATCTGACATTGTTGACCAGGTATCGTCGAATTCTGTCTGAGGGATGGAGGCTGAACTCATGTGTGCAGCAAGTCTATTTCGTATTGACCTAATTCTCTCGATATCATCACCCACTCTCACCTCTCCTGCTGCAGGTTCTTCTCCCCACTTTCCTTTTGTTGGTTTAGGAATCTTTGAACAAATGTTTCTTATCAATTTGTATGTTAATGAAATATCAAATTCCTCATATCCTGATATTTTTGCCTTTTTCAATTGATCTTCTTGATTTGCATTTAGATTTAGACTCTTCAACTTTTTGTTTGATAATAAATCCACCTTGTTCTCAATATCAGATGCAGGAATTTCTGATTCTAGAATATCTCTGTATGCCTTATTTAACACATCATTTGTAGCCATACCAAGTTTTGCAAATCTAGACCGGCCTTCTAGGTTTTGTCCAGAGGCCACAGGAGTACTGGAATCACTCGACTCTCTCTGAAACAAAATAAACCATAGTAAAATTAATTAATCCAACTGAAACTAGAACAAGTAAGTGCAGAAAGTAGACAATTTTCTCTGTAACAATATCAGTATTAGTGACTCAAATGTAGTCAACTTAGCAAAAAACTTAATAACAAAGATCAAAATATATAACGAGTATTCCCTTGTATGAAACAAAGCTAAACTAAGAGTTAGTAGAGTTTGTAAAAGTATTTAATATTACATTGTGAGTTTCTCAAATGGCCATGTTGTAGGTCAAGTAGAGAAAATTAGGTTGAAAAAAGATTTGAATCTACCAGTAATTTAAAATATTATGGAGTTGATAACAATGGCAATAATCTGAAAGATGATGATCAAGGTGAAATGAAAAAAAATATTTGGGAAAGAAACACTAAGATTTTTTAAACCTTTGTAACTGAACCATCAGCCAGTGGACTGTAAATATTAAAATTTTGGAAAAGGATTGAAAACTCTTTATTTCCATGAAAACGGTTCATCTACTACATTTACATCAGGTAAGATTTGTTTTATTAATGCATTTCAATGACATGCTTAGGACTTCCCAGCAGTTTGACTTCAGAACAAGGAGGCCATGAATGTAAAAAGCAAAGTAAAAACTCCATTGCTTTTAACAATCATTCTGACAATTTTCCTAGCAAGATGTCCAGAGGAACATAAACATTTTAGAACGTAAATTAATTTTGATTGATCTGGACCCACCCTCTTGAACTTTGAACGCAAAAACCAACTACATTATTTGTCTTTTGTTCTGTTCATACAAATTATCTACCAAAATTGGGTCATTAGTTCTTGGAGAGAGGCTGAAAATGTACCAAATTCTACAATAATTCCTGGTTTGAAAGAAACCTTGGGTTTTGATCAAGATCAAGACACACCCTGAGATGAAATGAAGCTTATCATATTTCCACATTTAATTTAACATTTTTTCCGTGAATAACCAAATAAACTAAGTTCGAATCATGAATCATAACACGATAAACCTTCGAGTCCGCTTATGCTTCTCTTTAAAAGATATAGTTACAGTAATTAAAATTAGAAACATTTTTATTTCTCAAAGTGATGTTAAACTTAACCAAATGACCTTGCATAAAGATCAGAGACATACTTATAGAAATCTGTGTAAACTATAAACCTCAAATGATTCTCAATTTCATATATTTTTTGTTCATTGGTCCTTTATATGGTCAATCAGATGTCATAAACAATGTATGTGCAAGTGGACACCATCTATATTAACAGATAGTCCCACAGACAGATAGAGAGACAATATAAATCCTATATTTCCCTTCAACATTCATTTGCCATGAGATACAAAGATTATCAATTATTACCTTTTCCCAGAATCCTAGAGTGGTCTGTATATTTATCACATGTTTCTCTCGAAGTTGACACTTGCACTGTGTTTCTTTTGCCTTGATCTTGGAGAGCTCACTTGAAAGGGTGAAAGATGAATCTTTCTCATTACAAATAATATTTTGACATTTGTATCCTCTGATGAATATCTTTGTGCCAATAAATGTTTCTGTCAATTTTTCTATTGCTTTATCAATGGAGGCTCCAATTTCATTTGATACTTCTTTGTCTACAGTCAATGGTTTGATCCTGAACACTTGCAATTGGATATCATCATTGCATATGCCAACAACAACAGTGTGTTCTTTGTGATCAAATACTGCCGCTGTTTGATAAAGACACTGACTTCCTTCATTGTCTTCATCTTTTGTGACACTCCATTTTAGAAAACTTATGCAGTATGCTACTAGTCTGTAGAACACAAACATGGCAAAGGAATTGAATCGATAGCACAAAATGGATGAGCATTCCCATTTATCTTCAAAAAAGTCAGCTTTAAACTGCTTTTTGTTCATACATGGGACATACCATGACATGCCACCTTCTGATACAGCCTCAAATGCATTCAAAGGTACCAGCATTTGAAGTTTCTCCATGTATGGCATGATTTCACTTTTATGTTTCGAGTAAGAGGGTTCATCTTTCCACAGTGCATTTATCACTTTATCTTTAAGTTCCCCCGTTTTGTTGAAGGATTTCCACACTTTTATTAATTTTCTTTTACAATCTTTATTGATGTGGTTTTCATCAGCAATTATCTTGCTGAAAGCATTAGCAAGCCACTGAATGTCCAGTATAACATGTTCCCTCAATTCTGCTTCTCCAAAATTCAAAAGAAGACCATTGTCATGGAAACATTTTAAAAATTTGGACATTTCCTCGTCACTTTTGATTTGGTATTCATCGGGAACAGATGCGTTGAGCTTCCAGATTTCACTCAGGGACAACACCTTCCAGGCTCCTTCATACAATAACTGCTCCATTAAAGCCCATGAAGAAGGCAATTCAATTTTTGTAGTATTCTCATCCATAAATAATTCCACTATAGAGTTTTTCATTGACTCTAGAATTGCCTTAGTGTTATCATTAAGTTCCTTTAGACCCACTGCATATTCCCGATCATTCAGAGACTCACTTAACCAATCTCTGTCCTCGTCTGGTACAGCATTCCAGAACTCCCCAAAGAACCTCTCTATTTCCTGAAGAAGTAAATAAAGCATGTATATTAAAATATTAACTCATAATTGTAAACTGAACCCTAAATTATGATAATGTGTCGATGTTTGAAAATGTGCAGTTACAGGTATTTCAGTATTAAGATAGCCCGATCCTCAGGTTTATAAAATAAGCAGTCAAGTTACGCAGTTATGATAAGGCTGTCCTAAGGCTTAAAATGCCTTGAAAATATGCATTTTATTCCGAGCTAGATTTTAATTTTATTATGTAATGTTTGCAGACAACTTGAGATGACAGTTTAATCCTGTTTTATTTTAAAGTATTTCTGTGACGTCACTTGACTGTGTTGATCACGTGACGGAGATTTGTGATATTCCTAATTGTTGCACAAAAATCGCTTCAGCACAAGTGCAAAAGAAAAATATTGTGCAAAGTTTGTTACATAGATCAATTCATCGTGACCTCTAGTACATAGAAAGTGCTGGGGCAAGATTAATTTTTACTCATTAAGAAAATATTCTACGAGAAATTCAACTTACCAACATAAGAAGGGGAATTTTCCACTCTTTATCGCGTTTTATACAAAAATGGATAAACTACATACAATCCCCCCAGCAATATTCAGTTCGAGGACATACCTCTCCTGTAGATTCACACAGAATATCTTTAATTTGTCCTTGTTTATCAATTGTGCCAGTCCAATATAAACATGATTCATAAATTTTAACTCTGTCTTCGGACGTGTAAGGGGAGCGTTTCACACATAATTTTTTGGTATTGTTTGAATATGTGCATATCAGGCAAGCAAAAGGAATTGGGATATTTAAATCTCAAATGTTCAACATCATAACAGCACACTCGAGCTTAAATACAATCCTAATTAATAAAATAAATCTACGTGCCATGTAAAATGTATGACACTTTGCCTGTCATGCCTGCTCAAGTATGCAGTGACTTGACGTCATTTAAGCATTGAATTCATATTTTAGGATGTCTTCGGTCCTATAACACACCTGGCCGTGCCGACAAATTGAATACAGAGCTAATGCACGGTATGATTATTTGTCGGCCAACCAGGTGTGTTATAGGACCGAAGACATCCTAAAATATGAATTCAATGCTTATATTTACATCTCTAATTTTCCTTTATCATAATTGTTTATTTCGTTCATGTTTAATGTGAATTTAGCGCCCTTCAGTATTGGTGTGCTTAATAAATGTAATAGCCGTTCGTGACTTTGGAAAGTCGTTTGTGACTTTGGAAAGTTAAATAACGCAAATAAACATTGCGAGGAAAAAAATTACAAATCAAATTTTAATGCACATTTGTTGTGATTTTATGTTAATTTTAAAAGGGTAGTTTTTAAATGAAATTGAGTCAAAACAATATACATTTTGTTGTTCTTAAATATTGAAAATGCATGTAGTTCCTACTGTGTATTCTAACGCGCGGTGACAAGGTTTTGTGTGTGTTATAGAAATTTGAACGTCGTGGATTTCTAATGGATTTCATAAAGAAAATTACACTGAATGTTAATATATTCTATTATGACGTCATATCTATGTAGTTCAGAGAAGTAACTACGGTTTGAACAGTTTGAAATTTTACGGGCAGCCTTATCTTAACTGCATATAAAAAAATACTCATAAAAGTACTTCTGAATCCACAAAGTTATGTGCATTTATCCACAGTATTTCTTAAAAGTTAAAAATTAAAGTTAATCAGATTCAATAGGGAAAATTGACAAATCTCCAATGTTTTTGAAGAAAAAGGGAATTGGAATATCGGCAATGCATTTTCTAATTGCAAATTATTAAACAAATATATTTTTTAGGTTAAAAAATGATAGGTATCCAGGCATTCAGAGAAACTGTCATAAGTTTTATACTTTTTAGGTATATTTTGTCTTCCAATTCCGTCATATATTCTATAATACATAGTGTAAAGGCTTTTGCTATCATTGCAAGACACTACAATCATTTCTTATTTCATATCATGCTGATAAGCATTGGTATCAAAGGCTAGATTCAAGAAAATCCCATTCTCTAAAACAGTATTAATTTTTTTTCCATTTATAGGGTACAATTGTCAACTTTTATAAGACTTTTTCTAAGACTTCCAAAACCCTTTAATCTTATAAAGTTGAACTAGAACTGTCCAATAGGGACAAATACCCCCCGCTGGGTTTTTCAGAGAAGGTGCCAATTCAAAAATACTTTATGGATCTAGAGGTGTTCACAATTTACTTACAAAAATTTGCAGTGAAATATAATTGTTCATCATGTTTCTTAATGAATGAAACAAAGGTGCAACCAAAAGAAACATCAATACTAATACATTGTAATTCAATTGTAACATTTTTTTTTTATTTTTTTTTTATTCAATTTTTTTTTTATTTCTGCATTAAAAAAATATATTGCAATTATGTGTTATGTCACTCTGCAAACTGATTGTTTAAAAAAAAATCATATTATACAAAATCAAATTAATCTTGATAACTTTATATCAAATTCATTTGAAAATAAAGAGCTGGTCATCCAGTAATGAAGTGCTTGACAGACAATAAATTACAATTAAGAGAATAAGGGAAGAGAGATCTTTAATTCTTGTGCCTGATTCCCAGGAGATTACACATGGTTGATAATAAGATGCCTTAATGTTCAACTTCCCACACCAAACTCATTACCACGGTAATTTATCTTTAACTGGATGCATGTCCAGTCATTATTCCCAAGAGATAAATAAAACTAGTGCTAATTGTAACGGGGACCGTTAACGATGTTACCCAAACGCTCTTCAAATTGCTTTTTGTTCCTAATTCCTGTAAGACATTTTTAGAAATATGATCAGTATCGAAGGATTTCATCAAAGAATTATAAAGGCTACAATGCTATCAACTGTATGTCATTTAACGCATTGTACGCGCACGCACGTGTATGCACATTCAAGATGATTATGGCATGTTGTCTAAACCAATAACATAACTTCATATCCTGAGAATCAATAACAAATCAAATAAATATAAATGTTACCGTTCTTTAGATAAATTGGTCATTTTGCGTCTTTCGCGCACGCAAATGCATGCATGCATGTTCGTGCATTAATTTTGATAATACCATAAAGAAGGAATCCATTATAGCTATTCATATTCTAAATTTTATCCCGTTTCGTTGAAAACTAGGAAAGTTATAGACATTTAAAGTTTCAGCAAATCAGATTGCAGCACACAAGCATGCGCATGCTTTTCATGATTATTCTTATATATCATGCTGTAGATCTTTATAATTTATAACCATGTTCAAAATTTTGGATTTTGTCGAAAAACAAGAAAGATATTGAGACTTTAGTTTCAGCCAATCAGAGCGAAGCGCACGTGCATGCGCGTGAGATCTTGCCATTTTGACCATGTCTTCTTGTTTAAGCTTCTAATATATCCTTATATTATGAGTTTCAAAGCATTTCATAAAGAAATTAAATAGTTACGTCTATATCAATTATACTGGACATTTCTCATGTTGCACGTGCGCGCTCTTGCAAGCACACGTGCATGCAAATGCTTTCATGATAATTCTTATATATCAGGCTGTAGACCTCCGTAATGTATGACTATGTTTGAAATTTCAAAGGATTTTATAAAAAAACAAGAAAGACTTTAGTTTCAGCCAATCAGAGTAGAGCGCACGTGCATGCGCGTGAGATCTTGCTATTTTGACCATGTCATCTTGTTTGTGCTACTTATATATCCTTATATTATGAGTTTGAAAGCATTTCATCAAAAATTGAAAAAGTTACGGCTATATTCATTATATTGGTCATTTCACGTGTTGCACGTGCGCGCTCTTGCAAGCACGTGCGCGCAAAATGACCTTCGTTCAGCAAATCTACATAACATGTCTACTGACCCAAAAAACATGTCACCTTAGTCGGATGTGTAGTTTACGATTTCATTCGCGGACAAAAAAGTGCCCAGGAAGAAGAAAAATTAAGAAACAGAGTAAAAACAATATGTTCCCAAACTTCGTTTGGGGAACATAATTACATTATCTTCTGTGCAATGTAAAAACTGTTTTTAACACTGGATGATGTTTCTTTTTTTTTAAAGTTTATATGAGTAGTTTTAAGCTGTAGTATTTTTGTAAAGATATTCTAGATTCTATGTCTCAAACCTTATACATGAGCCCAAAATGAAGAAGTCAATTAAAATAGAAAACAAAACCTGTAAAATGCAAAAAATGAACAAAAAGAGTTGAAAATTCCAGGTGCACACCATCATATGGTGAATAATAATCGTACAAATTTTCAGATTAATCCTTGCAATAGTTTATGAGAAACGGTCCGGACAAAACCACAAAATAACAAGAGGCCCAAGGGCCTTGAATCGCTCTTCTGATAAATTAGTACAACCTATAACTTGTATTTGAAGCCTCTAACCCTAAGTATCCTAAGACCAAAGTTGCACCACCTGACAAAGTTTGATGATTCTTAGCCAATAAGGACTACTTCTTGGTCTCTACATTCTTGGAATACCCAAAATGCATCAACTGACACAATTTCATTATTCTAAGCCAATAAATACCTAAGGTACTTAAATATAGCCATAAAATGTCGAAAGTAGGTCACCGTGACCTACTTTTTGGTTGACATTCTCCGAAAACCCAAGATGCATCAACTGACAAAGTTTGATGATTCTAAGCCAGTAAGTACCAGAGATACTTAAATATAGCCAAAAAATGTCGAAAGTAGGTCACCATGACCTACATTTTTGTTGACATTTTTCAGAGTCCAAAGATGCATCTGCTGACTAAGTTTGATGATTCTAAGCCAATAAATACCTGAGATATTCAAAAGAAGGTCATTGTGACCTACTTTTTGGTCGACATTCTCCGAAAACCCAAGATGCATCAAAAAGTTTGATGATTCTAAGCCAATAAGTACCGGAGATACTTAAATATAGCCATAAATTATCGAAAGTAGGTCACCGTGACCTAATTCTTGGTTGTCGCTCTCCGAAAACCCAAGATGCATCAACTCACAAAGTTTGATGATTCTAAGCCAATAAGTACCGGAGATACTTAAATATAGCCATAAAATATCGAAAGTAGGTCACCGTGACCTAATTCTTGGTCGTCACTCTCCCAAAAAACCCAAGATGCATCAACTCACAAAGTTTGATGATTCTAAGCCAATAAGTACCGGAGATACTTAAATATAGCCATAAAATGTCGAAAGTAGGTCACCGTGACCTAATTTTTGGTCGTCACTCTCCAAATACCCAAGATGCATCAACTCACAAAGTTTAATGATTCTAAGCCAATAAATACCTAAGATACTTAAATATAGCCATAAAATGTCGAAAGTAGGTCACCGTGACCTACATTTTGGTCGACATTTTTCAGAGTCCCAAGATGCATCTCCTGACCAAGTTTGATGATTTTAGGTATGAAGGTAATCAAAATATGCCTCTTAAACAATTTGAAAACATTGCCTGTCAAATTCTAAAAGTAGGTCACAGTGACCTACTTTTTCTTAAATATGTTTTAAGGTCCCAAGATGCAGCAACTTACAAGATTTGATGATTCTAAACCTCTCAGTGCCTGAAATAATGGGATTAAATGTTTCAAAAAGGTAAAGTCATAAAGTTCAAAAAGTAGGTCACGGTGACCTACTTTTAAGTTGACGTTGTTCAAGGACCCAAGATGCATCAACTGACTAAGTTTCATGATCATAGGCCTTAAAGTGTCCAAAATATGCCTTCAAATCAATTTGAAAACAAATGCCCACAAAATTAAAAAAGTAGGTCACCGTGACCTACTTTTGTGTTAACATGATGTGAAGTCCTAAGATGCATCAACTTACAAGATTTGATGATCCTAATCCTTATAGTAAGCAAAATATAAACATTTTTATTAATTGTAAATTTAGGTCAACTTTAAAGTGACCTTGAGACCACGCCCTTTGCCCCAGGGTCATGCCTTGAACAATTTTTAATCTTCAACATATCCTGATCCTTGTATGTAAGTTTGGTGAAAATCTGCCTGGCGGTTCTGGAGAAGATTTTTTAGCAACTAGTACTTTTGGTTTTGTTTTCCTGATTATCTCCCCTTGTTTTAGGGTCCTAACCCTTATTTTAGTATAAATGGTAGCCCTTGGGCCAAGGATACCCTGTAGCAAATTTGGTACTGATTGGCCAAAGAGTTCTTTAGTTATGGCCCATATTCTAAAAAGTTAACACACACCGCACAAATGGCCATAGCATTAGCTCTTTGATCCTTTGGCTCAGAAGAGCTAAAAATGAAAAAAACACCTGTAAAATTCAAAATAATAATCGAATCAAGATGAAAATATCAGGTGCACAACTTCATATGGTGAATAATATTTGTACAAATTTTCAGACAAATCCTTCCAATAGTTTCTGAGTAATGGTCCGGACAAAATCTCGTCTACAGACAGACAGACAGACGGACAGACGGACATGGTGATTCCAATATACCCCCCTAAACTTCGTTTGCGGGGGGTATAATAAAATAAAAATTCTTGCATGAAAAGTTTCATGTTGATGTATTTAAAATTAAATATTAATTTTTGGAGTTATCCTTCCTGGCTCAGAATCGGATATCCTAAAATGTGGTGCACAGTTCAAACTGACGTCAATTGCACCATGTAAATCTGGTATCCATTGTTGATAACAATTTATATGACACTCTGGATGTAATACAAAATACATGATTGTGTAATACGATTAACTGTCAATTAATTATTGGTTCTTTTGTATTTCTGAATTTTAACTGTAATTGTGCATTATCAAATAGGTTGGTATCAGTTATTTTTTGTGATTCACATTTCAATTAGCCTGAATACTTACAGCTGTAGATTTTTTCTCTGTGTGTGTGGCAACAAGAAACAGTGGTGCTTTTTTGCCTCCAAATGTCTTGATTGAGGTAATCCAAAACTTCAGGTAGTCTGAAAGAAACAAGAGTATGTAAGTCTAAAGGAACAACAAAGCATCCTAATAAAAACCAAACAGGTTGGAGTCTCTGGAAAGTGTGTAGCTCTACTGCTTTGTATTTAAACATGAAAAAGTAAAAGAATTTCAATCTATAGTTTTGTTTTTGGTTTTACAATTGTCCAGCAGAATTATATGATTTCATATTTTGAAAACCTTTTAATAGTTATTAAATAAAATATGAACTCTGAAATGTGCAATATTTAAATTCTGATTTTTTTTTTTTACATATCTTCTTCCTTCTGCTTTTCATGAAAACTGATTTTGTAGAAACATGTATTACAGTGTTGTGTACTTGTTAAGGCAAACAGCATATAAAGAGAAGTTAAGTCAATTTCAATGGCAACACCCTCTGAAAACTGATTCATCATTCCTGGCTACTGACTGAAAATTTATTTGTCACATCCACAGAAATGAACAGATTCCCACCACAACTAACAAGCCCATGGGAGATCAATATCCCCAACGAAATAACTCCATCTGATTATTGAACTCCATTAGTACGAACTGATTAATTTTAATATAAGAAAAAACAAATTTCACTAGTTGTTACTTCAAAAAAAAACCAAAGCTGTTAATAACTAGATGTATGTCCATAGGACATGAATGCCCCGCCGAGGGTATATTAGAGTCCCTGAAATGTTCTACTTTCTCATTTTTCCGTTCGTTCAGCGTTCATTCACTGTTCGTTCAGGGTGCGTTCACTGTTCGCTCTTCGTACACAGTATTGCGTTCACCGTGCGCTTGCGTTCACCATTCATAAAACGTTCACAATTCGCTCTTCGTTCCGTTTTATTTTGCGTTCACCGTTCACTTATCGTTCAGTCTTCATTGTCATTCGGAACTCCGAAGTGAAAGGACTTATCTTTTTTTAATTGAATAACTTTGATATCGTACTTGAAGAATAATTATTTCATTGTAAAAATTATCTATGATAGTAATATTTCTATTATTATAACCAAGCTGTTGCTTATTTCATGAAATTTCCCTGTAAAATAATACATTAAGTACCTTCATGTATGTAGAAAGATGCTAAAATATTAATTTTCAAAAATGGCAATGTACAAATGCTTCACGCACGGCATTAATTTGTTGTAATTTTAATGACGACAAATCATTTATGGATGTATAATAATTAATCCAAGTCTTTTACAAGAAAAGAATACACAAAAAAATATTTCTACAATAACCCGTATTTTTAAACTACACGTAGGTCTGATAATAATGAACAGTACTGCAAATATTCAGTTTATTAAATATCTTTAGAGTAGTGTTGGCAACGAGTACCCGGTTAACTGGTTAACCGTCGAACGTTGCGAGTATCGGTTAGTAAAACTGCTATTCGGTTACTCGGATAAAATAAATTCTACATAGTAAAGGCATAGAAAATGAATGTTTTACAATTTATAAATGTATACTAACTTACACATTTCCCTAATTTTAGGTACCGTTAGATTTGATTTATTGCATGGTTATAGTAAATTAAATTGTTTTGACTAGTTTTCACAGTTTATATAATTAATAGCTTTGATTGCCTGGGGTATACAAATTTTGAAGGCCTGAGTTATAATTACCTCATTTGATAATTTAACGAGATGCCGCCGCAGACAAATAAGGTTGGGGTTGTAACAAAAGAACAGCTGATTCAAAATCTGTTAAATCACCTAAGCTTAATTTATTCGAAAACCAGCGATTTACTGGACACTCCACATATTAATTATTAATTATGGAGTATTTTAATAATTATTCTCCTTGATTGCGACATATTTCGGGGGCTGAAAAAAAAGTAAAAAATGGTGATTGACGGTGACGTATTTATTTGTCTTTGTGTGTCGAATTCCCTATTAATTTTCTTTATTTTAAAATCGAAAATCTTTGACGATATCGTATGTGTGAGTTGTAAGTATATTATCCCTATACAGTATATTTGCGCATTACTACTACCGATAAGTATAGAATAAGATAAATAATAGATATCGATACTTTCACCAAAAATCATCCGAGTAAACGGGTACTCGATCGGAAGATGAAGCGAGTACCCGGTTACTAAAAATCGTCCGATTTGCCAACACTACTTTAGAGCTTATAAAAATTGATAGTGTGATTTTAAATTTTAGAAAAGACCAACTGATTAAAATAGTCTATTATTAGAGAAGGTACCTAAACATATGTTTAAATATATGTTTGCCATTCATTATAATTAAGACAACCCCCCCTCCCCGGTGCCTTTTCTCTCGAAATAAAATTCTTAGTGAGTGTTTTCAGTATATTTTAATTAATATTTAATGTGCATTGGAACACAAGAAAATCAGTCTTAAAACCAACATCAAACAGTCATTTAACAATAGTATTTTAGAATACACTTGTGCTGACAGTAGTACTTTAAATTGGCAGGGAATATGTTTCAAATTCAATTTAAAACTTAATCCTTCCAAGTATATATTCCCATTCTTTATTTTTTTCTGCAGGAATGCAAAAATCAGATCTAGAAATGATAGGGAAAAATATTAAAACTCCTTGGAAATATCAAGTGACTCTTTGCCTTCGGCATGTTCGGTGAAACGCGATTTTCACGATTTTCACATCTCCACTGTGTCGAATGATTTTGATTGACAGGACAAGCACTCTACTAGCACGTGGACTTCCTGTGAACCTTGTGAACTTGATGATGGAAAATAAAAGCCAATGATTACTGTTAAATGGATCTGTTAATCAAAAAAAAATTGATTACCTTTACTGCTTGCATTATTTAGGAAAAATAATAAGAATTTTTATTTGATACAACAGATATCTGAGATTTGAGTGGGTATCTCTTTCTCTCTCTCTCTTTCTTTCTTTACATTTCTCTGTTCAATAAAAACTATGACAGCACATTACTTATTTAGTTTTGAAAATTTAATTTATTACAAATAATTTGAATGCCTCTTTCCATCATCTAATGACAGAGTATAATCACGGCCGGGAAATGTTTTCAGATACATATAGAATTTAGCTAAGATAATCGTCATGAAAGAATACAAAAAACACACAAATATAGAATATTTTGCATTAGAATTTAAAACAAATGAGAGTTTTTATGCAATACGTCAACAGACAATTGAGAATTAAAAAAGAAATCCGTTATTTTACTCAGAAGCGCCTTGGCACGGAAATACATGTATGGTTGTTTCAACCGCGTACAATGTAATTAATCCATTCTATAAGTAGTAATTTTATCTTCAGACGTCCACACTATTTTATTAGTGAAAAGAATAAGCATATTTACTATATAAATAGATTAATTTTATAATTAACCTACACACGTTAGGTAACAAATACACATGTTTTACGGCAATTAAAATTGTGTTATAACAATATCGATTTAAAACATAGGTACATATAGGTACATACAAAAAATTTAATTAATTAATTTCTTCATTATTTTTATTGTTTATTTATATTAAACCACCTAGAATTAGAATAATAGAATAATAAAATAATCTCAATGCAAGGAAAAGATCAGAGGCATTTTGAATAAATTGTTCATCTTACGTTCACCGTTCAATTTGCGCTCACAATCGCGCTCCGTTTGCGTTCTACGTCCACTCACCGTTCACCAAGTTGCGTTCAGCATTCGCACATCCTTCACTCATCATTCTCTCTGCGTCATTCACCGTTCTTTCAGCGTTTCTTCATCATTCAGGTTGGAAAGTTCAGTGCTCCAAGTCACACTTACTTTAAGGTTGCTAAATGGCGACCTAAAACTTTTTTTGGTCGCCAATTCAGAATTTCTGGTCGCCATGAACAAATTTTTCACTCGCCATGATGAAAACATGTGAATAACACAATTAAAACAATGAACTAACATCCATATGTGTTCTGTTTTTATCAAATCAAAGATAATTGATTACTGTGACTGGAAATCATTTGCTAGTTGAAGGATATACTTTTATTAAATACAACCACCCTTTGTATGGTACACAGAACACACGTAATCTGATCCTAGAATTAAAGTTTAATCAAAAGAAAATAAAACTTTGACAGTTGTTAAGACAGTACTTTGCCAATTGTTTATATTGTTTACCTGTTTTTTTTTTACTACTAAGTTATTACCCATAGCGCAGTCGTAATCAATGCCGCCAAAACACTTAAAGGTCCAAATATATGTCTATGATGTATGTTGTAAACAATGGTTAAAGAGAAGGAATTGCAATATTCATTTAATTTTAAACCTCGTTGTTTTCTTTATTTACCTGTTCAAATATCGCCAAAAATAACGTCATCAATAAAGTTACTTCCCCTTTTTGTTACGTCATTAGAGACACTCGACAAAATCTAGTTACATAAGTATAGTAAAAAGTGCTCTTGATTATCTTAAATCATGACAAATTAATTATTCTTCTTCGACCGATTCTGTTTTGTCCAAAGCCGGTAAGGGTGAAAGTGGAAATATTAAAATAACACAAATGACAAGGGATCATCGCAGAAGCTAACAAATATATACTTGTCAAAATTTCTAAGTCCCCACTTTTATTATTTTAAGTATTTAAAAACCTTAAAATCAATTGACAAGTTGCCTACAATTTTGCCTTTATTTTTCAATGCTTACCTTTTACGGCCAAAAAATTTGAAATCGAATATGTAATTACTTGACCGTGACCGATTTTGTTAAAAAGCATGAAGTGCGAGTTTCATATAATTTCGGGTGTATCTTTTATTTTTTTAAATTTCCATGTGTTCTCCATCTTTAGTTGTTCACGAAAAACAGAAAAACTGGATTAAAATGCCATGTATGTCCGTACAACAATGTGCAAGTGAAGTTGATAAGGCCCAAGCTGGTGATAGTAGAGGAGAGTTGTATTTCCTTCCCCTGTATTTGTTTATTTTACCTAAAACCTTTAAGAATATCGTCAGAAAGCTGAACAAAGCTTACTTGAATTCCTTACAATCCTTTAAATCGCTAAAATTTCAACAAATACCACAAAACAATCCTAGTGTTTATCCGGAAAATTCACTAAAACCCGAACCGGAAGTGCCCATGGTCAAGGCATATACACCAACTGCAACGACACATCAACAGGGCTACTGCATAAGAATTACTCAATATTGTGGAAAGAACCTAACTGCGCGTGAAATTGCTCTGCACTAATTAAAAATTAATTTAGGTCTCCTTAAATTTAAAATTTAGAAGAAAGAAACTGGAAGAGTGGCAAATGTGTGTAAGGAGGCCTGATGTACTATTGGCTTAATATTGTCGATTAAAACAATTTCGGTAAGTTTTACGTTATCGATATATCAACCCTATAGAACATGAATGGGACAAGATGGACCGGAAAGTGAGAAGTTTTCCAGCAGCAGAATCTAGCGTAACTATAGTGGATGACCTCGC